CCATTTTGATAAAGTTTACTTTATGCATTTGTCAACTCTCCTTAAGCCTCTCACTTGTTCCCGCTGCATACACTCAACCTAAAAGCTCAGAGAAGCATGCTTAAAGTGTCCAACAACTCCATGAAGCATGGTACTGTGCATTGGAACTTTGATTTCTCATAAAATCACAAGTTACATCCAACCAAGCCATAACTTGTTATCTCAAGGATCTGGTTACTTCAACCTCTCAAACCTTTTTCCTATAAATAGAGAGGTCATTAGCAAGCCAAGACACTAATTCACAAGCCCTCAAAACCTCACATACTCTCAAAAACTAGAATTAGCCACAAAACCTCCATTCTTGAGCTTCAAGGTCCATTTCTTTGAAACTCTTCAATCTTGTAAATTTTTTTCAAACCAACCACCCACACACTTCATATACACCTTATATAAGTGATCCAAGCACTTGTTTCATCATTGTAACTCCATTATCATCATCCACCATTTTCAAATTTCAACCTTGCAACTTGACTTGAGTAGATAGTTCTAGCCACTCTCAAAGCAAAGTAAGGATTGCAATACACTCCTCAATGTCCCAGCAAGCTAAAATGATCATCATTTTGCTTCTGGAAGTGCTTGAAGAAGCATTGGACTTTCTCCAACTTGGTACAATTTTCAAACTTTGAACTTTATATATAAGAACCATTTGCATATACTTTCTGAAGAGAAAATGTAGATATCATATCTATGAAGCTAACCATATCCTTAAATTTCACTTTAATTGATTGTGGGATGAGAATTTTGAAAATGGAGTTTTCTAGGTTTTATTTGGTACGAGCAAAATCCGTTTCAATCTTTGGTTTATAGCTTTCAAAAATTACATGGTTGAATTCCTTGTTAAAAATCAAGTGTTTGAAGTTTTTAAAATGGTTGAGAAACGAGAGTTTTTGAAAATAAAAAATGGTGAAGTTATGTTGTTTTCGCGTCGAGGAAGAAGGCCATGGCGCCCGATTTTCAAAATTCCAAAAGTGTTTCATAACCAGATGAAGCAGTCACCCCAGTGGTACTATGTGCACCTGTTACTATAGGGACTTGGGTTCGAGCCCCAATGATACCCTTTGGCATATTTTCTTCATTTTCAACTTCATTTTTTTCACTTATTTTCATCATTTTCAATCAATTATTTTTGCACTCAAATTTAGCCCTTTCAAGCTGTTTTTTTCACACTATTAATTTACCACTCCTATTTTATGAATATAAAAAATATCGCAGAAGTATTTTTTATTTCCTTATTTCTCAATTAAATCAAAATCATCACTTTTTAGGATTTTTAAGGGATTTTTGATGACCGTTTGGTCAAATTCTCAACCTTGCTCACAAAGTTTGATCTTACCATGATAGGTCTTGATTCTCATAATATATCTTGACACTTGAGTAAGCTTTTTCATGATAGCTTGAGCCCTTTTAGAACTTTTTCTCATCCAAAACTCATATTAAATCATGAAACATGTTTAAAATCAAAAGCTATGCTCCATGACTTTCAATTGTGATTGTGATGCATATACTTATTTCAAACATCCAATTCATCCATATTTTCACAAGCTTGTCTTATTTTTGGACATATTTCCTTCATAAACTCTTTTGAAGCATAAACCACAAACCAACAAGGACATGTTTTCAACTTTCACTCTTTTGTCACGATTTTTACCAATAAACCTATGGATTCTCATCCACTTGTGTGATCATTGATTATTGAATAATATGCACCCTTAAGAACACTTAGTTTCATCTTAAATCCTTGAAGAAATTCGAACCAAGGTAGATATTAGGATTACAATCCAAACATGACAACTTTAGGATAGAATTCTCCCCTAAATCCATTATTAAATGATAACACTAGGTTAGATTCCTCGTAATCTCAACTATAGGATCAAATTTGCATGACAATATTAGGATCAAGTCGCCACTAGACTTTTCTTTTTCTTTTGCATTACATCATTAAGACTAAAACATTTTCTCAATCAAAAATCCAAAACACCTAACAATATGAAAAACTCTTTCAAAACTAAAGGTATGAAGGTGATTGGTGTCTCCTTGGATGAGGGTCCGCTTAATACCTTCTTCCTAACTTCAAACACAAACCAAATCCAAATCATTTTTGTCTTAGGGATTTTTCACTTTAAAACATTTTCAAAAAGGATATGTTAACTCCATTTTACACAAAACAACGATGCGTAGTCTCCAACAGTCGAGTGGCAGCGTTAACTGTTAGAATACAAATTTAACATCATCCATAAAAAATACACAACAAACAAAATATTTTAAAGAAGAACTACGACGTTATGATTCCCTTGAGGATACGTAGGCATGGAGTTTCAATGCTCACGCGAACACGCTAATAAAAAACTTTTCTTTTCCAATGAATAAATGCATACATTTCCCTTTAGCAAGTAAAATTTAGATAAACACACACATTGAATAGAATAACCAGAGTGGATCTCATGGAGTACCACGGACGTGAGAAGTGTTAATACTTTCTCCTTACGTAATCGACTCCCTTACCCGAGATTTGGTTGCGAGACCACATTCTTTTCCCGATACCAAAGGTTTTCTCTATATTTTCTTTTCCCTATTCATTGGGATAAATAAATTTAGATAGCGACTATGTTTGTTCTATCCAAAGTTATTTTTTCGAGTAGCTTCAATAATGATGACACATTCGAAGAGACATGTGAAGTATGTAGCATTAAATGGAATTCAAAAGAAATTGAAAGATTTCTATTTCGCTCTTCCAAAGGTGAACAAAGGAGTGATCGACATTCGAGATTGACGTGACAAACTCTTGCCTTGCTACACATAAGCAACGACTTAGGTGGCAACTATTATGGATAGACCATATCGACTCCACCCGACCACCATAAAGAAACCACACTCTTTCCAGAATCTTCTTAGAACACGAGAATTAACACCCTGATGATTACAAACGATGTCAACTACAAGGGGCATCCAACGACTCTCTACAATTCACTCCTAACAAATAGCGAATTTTTATTCTCTCTACTATACATATAGAAGGCGGAAAATGTAGGTAACAAATTTCAAATTCAATTTCACTTCACTCATCTCCCTCACATAGTGAATTGAGCGTTGGAGTGTTAATCTTGTAGGCCAACCCCCTCTCCACTGCGTCTAAAGCTTTGATTCGCCATCACCACCACTCTCCAATCCATTTTTGGTATCAGAATGAAACACCATTAATTAGTGATGGGTGATTTAATATTATTTTTGATTCAAAATCAATCATCTTGATTATATTTTCTGTCAATTAAAAAATAGCTTTTTTTACATATATTTGAGTTTGTATTTGTATTTTATTTTCATGATTTCATTGTCTTATTGTAAGTTGTGTTTTCCCTCTCTTGTTGTGGTGTCTATCTGATAGATAAATAATTTATTTTCATTTTAAATTTATTGCATATTTAATTAATAATTTTAACATATTAATATATTGATTAAATATCTTTTATATAGAGTCTATTTTTCTTTTTTAAATTAAAAAAATATATATTGTGTTTATCCCTTAATTCTGCAAATTTGATCACGCTAATCATTTACGTCAATTCTGTTAATCAAAGTCAATACATAGAATTATGTGCCACCGATGAGAAAAGACATCTGGCTTAGATTAATTTTGTGACTGATTCAGCAGTGAAAAAATCTGTCACTAAAATATTTTCAAAGTTTCAATTATTCTCCTTCATCTTCTTCCCTAAACCCAACAAATTCAAATATGTTTTCATAGGCGGATCCAAGGCCCGGCCAGACTGGACATTCCCCGGACTTTGGCCTAAATTTTCTTTGGAGCTGAGGTGATTTATATGGTAAAAAAAAAGGCAAAAATTAAAACTCTTGATTAATGAGAGACCAAAATACAAAAAACTTTTAATTTGCCTAAACTTCATAATTTTTTTGATCCCGACATTGTCTTTTCTAAAGATGACATCAATATCATATCTGAAAGTTCTCTTTCATTCTTTCCCCGATCTGAATCCAAATCTATTTTGGGGATGGCATCAACATCAAATCTGCCTATCCTATCCAAAAAAACATAGTTATGTTGTATCCTATTATGGGTAGGTGAGTGTTATATGAGATGAACTTGCCAACTCCTAGCTACAACTGTGGTTGCTCAACTTTGGTTAGTTACTCATTAATTTGAAGCGAAACAAATGTTTAGTATTTACTTTCCATTTTTAATGTTATTCACGGTTTCGAATTTGCAGCATTGTTAGCAGCAATTCTATTTAGTAATTTCAGACTTTGAGCTTAGAAGCAATACATGACTGCACCGTGTTACCGCGAACGGTAGCATCACATTTCATGCCAAATGAGTCTCTCATAGATCTGGAAAATAGCTATTTTGATTCACAATTTGCATCTGATATGAGAGGGAATTTGCTTGTTCAATCTAAATTTTTGGTTACAAATTAATTTATTGTCTGATATGAAATTTACTGGACATGATAACTGTTAAGAGTCTCACATTAGACAATATATGACTTGAACATGAGTTTATAAATGGGAGTAATCTTCAACTTACAATATTGGACAATATATGGCCTGAATATGAGTTTATAAGTGGGAGTAATCCTCACCTTATAAACCGATTTTGTAGGGTCGAGTTAGGTTCAACCCACACATTCTAAGATGGTATTAGAGTCTCATCTCATCTAAGATTCATTAAGCCACCCACCATTTAGTTCCACTAATATATGGTCTGAACATGACTTTATAAGTGGGAGTAATCCTCACCTTATAAAGTCATGTTCTTGTTCAGGCCATATATTATCTGATGTAGGACTCTTAACAATAAGAAACACGACAACCAAACGAAGGGACGGGACATTATTTTGAGATATACTTTGCATATATTTGTTACAAAAGAAAACAAGAAATTTTACATGAGTTGGTTGGTATACCTTTAAAAACTTCCTTTAACAAATACACTAGGTTTCCTTTTTTCATATTTTTCTAGCCTTGTAATATACAGAATCTCTAAGAGATGATGAGGATGATGAAGATGAAATCCCGGAGCGACTAAACTCAGCCTTGTCCTTGCTAAAAGCGTTGTTGACATCATCTTTAAGCTCCACGAATCGCGTCCTCTTGATTCTTTGCTCTTCTTGAGTGCCCTTCTCAAGGTAAAACAGATCAGGTAAGTCATCCTCCATGAATTTATCGAGCACTTCTGAGCAATGAGGAAAGTAGCGCCGCCCCATTTCCACTGCAACACAAACATGGATAGTTTAGTAAAAATACTATTATCTTTCTTTTATTTCTATATTTTTCTTAATCTGTCTAAAATTGTCAAATAAGCCAGTCATTGTGAGACAACAGAGTATTACAACAACAACATTCAAGTCTTATCTCATTAAGGGGAGTCGGTACATAGATCAACTTTTGACGTAATGTTCTATTCAGGATCATGCTTCTATCCGAATCGTTAATCTCGATTTTTTAATAACTTCTAATATCAAGAAAAATATTTTTATTTAGTTCAATTACCTGTTTTCATTAGTGCTTCCATCCTAGAAATAAGTCTTTTGTTTTGCATTATGGGAGTCTCATTGAGGTCAACCTCCCTTAAGTTTCCATTTGAACCTTTTCCCGCCGAAAGACCAGCAAACTCGGATGTTGTCTCTGCACGAGCAATGTCCATGGCTAGTTTGGCTTCCAAGGGGAAGAACAGTCTTGCAAATGCCACTGCAGTAGGAAGCAAAACTTATTATTTGATGGTTTTTGAGCATAACAAAATAAAGAAGTTAAAGGAAATTCATTAATTACACCCTACCGCGGTTCTCAAGGTACAGAAGCTTCATGTGGAGATCATCAGCCATTGTTTGGGAAGACACAGAGGTATCTCCAGCCAAAGGATTCCTTCGCATTTCTCTTTCAAGAACATCAATGCATATCCGGTCTTTGTTTGTTTCTTTCCCTTGTTCTGTTTTTGTGAGATAATCCTTCGGTCTTGTCAACCTCCTACAAATACTAACAGCACTCTGACCATCGAAAGTCAAATCCGACACGCAAGCCCCTTTAGTAAGAAGTGATACTATAATGGAAGGCTCCTTACGCATGGCAGCAACGTGAAGCACTGTGTACCCTCGAGAATTTCGAAGATTGACATTAGCTAGACCTAATCCAAGCACTTCGGGAACAACCTTAGGGTCACAGTAGGCTGCTGCATAGTGGAGAGCACCGGCTTCATCTAAAGAAATGTCTGACTCATTCAAAAGAAGTTTAACAAGCTCGACGTCGTCTGAGTCCAATGCCTTGTGTATTCTAGTGATTCGTTTTAGAGACAAAGCGTCCACTACGGGAGCATCGTCTTCACCATCCTTCTGAAGATCACGGCGGAACAATTTAACTTTTTCGGAGAGCTCGTGAGGAAGCGCTTTCTCAATTGAGATCTGGTCAAGGTCTGATCGTGCCACCCTGTCAACACATTGAGCGACGAGTTGATTCAATTGACAATGGAAAGCAACCATAAGGATTGAAATGACGTCTTCGACAAGAGCCTTCCCTACAAAGTTAAGAAGCCGTCGCTGCAAAATTTGAAGTATTACTCAGTTCCTCAATCCTTTAATCTTGATGAGACACAATATAGCTAGTAACTAAGATGCGAGATTAATTTACAATTTCCCAAACATGCATAGTAAAAGATGCCAAGTACAAAAATAGAAGAGTATTGTATCCGATCTAGACACATGTCAGATATTTAGATCCAGATACGTGTCAGATATTTCCCAAACATGCACAGTAAAAGATGCCAAGTACAAAGTTAGAAGAGTATCGTATCCGATATAGATACATGTCAGATATTTAGATACAGATACGAGTCAGATATTTCCCAAACATGCACAGTAAAAGATGCCAAGTACAAAAATAGAAGAGTATCGTATCAAATATAGATCCATGTCTGATATTTAGATATAGATACGAGTCTAATATTTCCCAAACATGCACAGTAAAAGATGTCAAGTACAAAAATAGAAGAGTGTTGTATCTATATGGATATGTGTCACTTATTTAGATACAGATACGTGTCAAATATTTCGCGATAAGTACAATAACAATTTGAATTGTTTTTCCAAAATCATTTTCACCGATACTTTTCAAATACATCGTCGACACTCCTTACAAATTAAAGATGCGACTGTCAGCCGGGATCACAGATATATACATGTTCCATACGCTTTACTATCTAAAGACATTGAATCGCTTGTTTTTTTTTTGTGACGGATTCATAACTATAATCATAGAGTAGAACATGTACCTGAAAAAGTGAAACCAACTCCCGCATTTGAAAAATGGAAGAGGCGTACATCAACTCCACAGCAAAGTTAATTGCAGGTCCACATGCATCATGAGCACACACATTATCAACACATGTAGAAACCTCCATTGGAGAGGGTTTGAGTTTACCGGTATATACATAGTTAAGTAATATGAGAAAAGCTTCATGTCCAACTTTGCCAAAAGGCAACAAATCACTCAAGCAATACTTCAATTTTCCTTCACTCTTTGCCAATCCTTTTTCTTTACCTCTCTTAAATAGCTCATGGAAAAACTTACTCCTAGAACCTAAAATACACCGATGAACTCTAACCAAAACTCCCTCAACAATGATGTCCGCATCACCATAATCATATTCAGGATCAATCAACAGCTGTTCCAAATTAGAACTAAGCTTACTCAAACTGATAACCTCCAGGTTACGAGCATGATCATTGCCATTCGAGTTGTGACTAATTGATGCATTCGATAAAGATGATGTAAAACTCAAAGATGATGACGGTTCAGCTGAATTAGCCATTTAATCAATCTGAGAATCTAAGTGAGCCTATAACACAATCTTGTATTATACATCACTAAACTCAAACCTTATACACTTCAAAGTTCCCTCTTATATAGAATCCCAAAATCCTCTACAAGTGTTCACGTCACAAAACACATGACATATGCAACACCTCACAAAATTCCAAGAATACACAGCTTATAAGAAAAGTTGAAAATAATCAACTATCCAAACCAAAGCTTAAAGAGCCTTTAATCTGTTCTCTATATAAAAAGCTAAGCCTAATTATTGGGTATGTGTGCAAATTCCATAAGAAAAAAAATACATGTATGAAGAAGTTCTTTGTTTGAATTTCCAGAGCCACCAAAACAGCATAATCAAACAAAACCCAAAATAGAAGAAAACAAAATCACAATGAAAAAAAAAAACTCACTTTTGAAATTCAATTTTCAGCACCGACCCATTAAACAAAAGTCTCAATTTTCAAAAGCAAATCCATCTAAATCACAGAAAGGATCGAACTTTGACAGAATATCGGAAACCCGGAGAGAGAGAGAGGGAATCACGGGTCAAGGGAGAAAAGTCAAAGAATGGAAAAGAGAGGAAGCTTCGGAAATGGGAAAAAGGAGAAAGAATGAAGTCATGAATAATGACATAACGTTAGAGAGAGATGAGAGATGGCATCGTGGAAATTTCGTAAATCGTTTTCGATTGGATGAGAGAGAAAGTGTGTACGTGTAGAAGATGGTGATGGGGGTGCCGATAAGAAGATGAAGTGGGTTGAATGACGATAGATATGCCGTCAGCGTCGTCAGATGGGGTTTGGTTGCGTTTACAATGGCGTCACTCAACCAACGTTGTTAAAGACTTTTTGTTACAAGTTAGACTAAAATAACTTTGATGATTACTAATAATTTGAAGATTAAAAAATTGTACCAAAAATAATAATTTGATTCGTGTATTTTGGACCCCGCCAACGATACACTTAAACTTATCCTTATTGTTGATGGTAGTTTTTTTCGTCTTGATCCATAATTCAATTATCTAAAATAGAAGACTATGTCATTTAAAGAATGTTTTTGATGATGATTGTTATATGGTATGTAGCATACGTCATCTGTAATAGTACATTCAAGAAATACTTTGAATGCATAGGTTGCTTGATTTCTTCTAAGGGGGATGAATGTGCAATCATGTTGTTGTTCTTCAGAATAGTCATCCAAATATGACTAATTAGAGATACGTGGAAAGGGTTGGAAGATCCATGCCTGAAAATGGTACGGTTGATATATTAGTAATGATATAATACAAGTGTTATAAAATGTTAGTAACAATAAAGGTGTAAATATATTATAATAAATAAATTAAAAATTGATGTCATCTATCTAGTCTTCTAAAGACAAGCTCCACATAATTTCAAGTAATGGTAAACCAAACAAGCGGCTTCCCAGTTGTACTCATGAATCTCCTTGAATTTAATGAAGTATTTAAGATAAATCACATTGACATAATAAGCACTTTTGTCCACTAAAATAGATGTGTCAACTAAATACATGAGGTATGACCTCAATACACATGATTTATGATGCAAAACTTGTGCATTATCACCATCGGCCTCCATTGTCGCAATCAGATGGTCTATATACAACTTCTCCATAAATGCAAATCTAGCATGGCACTCTTTGATGGTATCCATATCTTTTTGCTCATTATTTGGGTCAGCTCCTAAATAAATCAGTATCATCTCCGGTGCCTTGGGTCTACTACACATAGAGTGGTCTAATAATCTTCTTCTGATCGAAAGATGTAGTAGGAATGACCTGTCATTCAATGTGTTGGACATCTCACCATGTGGAAGATGAAAACATGACGTCTCTGAGTTTCATTTTTCAATGAAAACTGACATCATACCATTGTTAATGTTAGTATAACCATTCATGCATAAATCTTGTAGCCTAGTAGCTGCATGACTTCATGAAACCATTGTTCCTCGGGCTGATGCAACTTCAGATTCTTCCTACCATGGTTGAAATATTTTAAAGCATCACGGTACTTCAAAAAAAAATACATCATTGTCGGAAATTTTAATTATTATAACATGTGTTTCAAAGAATAAATACATATATATTTTACCTCTTCATCCCACATGTGCCTAGCAGCATGATTTGTATACAGAGGCAATATAACGTCCCGATATTTAATTATTTATTTAATTAAATATTTTTGAATTTTTTTTTTATTAATTCAAATTTTTATCGTCGAAGTCAGAATTATTTTATTAAGTTGGAATAATAATTAATCGGATTTAATTTGGTGAAATTAAGTTAAAGTGTTATTTTATTGTTAAGCTTAAATATGATAATGAGCTTATGTTGTGGCGTCAAGAAGTAAAAGTGGAGTGTAGCATTTAGGCCCAATTGGATTTATTTGGATTAATATAATAATATATGTTATTAGAAAATAAGAAAAAGGAGAGAGTATTGTTATCAGGAAGAAAAGAACAAAGAGGAAAATAGGGTTTGGGAGAGGAGAAGAAGAACAAGAGGAAATCTCTTTTAGTGCCAAATTCTCCAAAAATCCGGTTGAAGTCTCTTAGAGCTGCTCTTAATTCAAGGTAAGGGTGGGGTTCTGACTCTATAATAGGGTGTATGATTAATAGTATGTGAATTTGGGTTATGAAAATGATTTCTAATTGTGTTTGAAATTTGTATATTGATGAAATTGAGAGATGATTTAAGAACCAATATAATTAGATATACATATATATAAGTACTTTAGTATTTTCTTTGCAAAGTTCTATGCTTGATACTGTAGCGCAAGATGAAGTAGCATTAGAAGCAAATGGCTTGCGTACAGTAGCGACATTAAGAAGTGGTATTTAGAGACAAATGCTTGTTACTGTAGCAATATAAGAACGAAGTAGTATTTAGGATAAATTCTTGTTACTGTAGCGATATAAGAATGAAGTAGCATTTAGAGTAATTAATTGCTTTCTGTAGCGCAAGAATTAAGTAGCAATTACAGGTATTTATTTTGCAATACTGTAGCGCAAGTAATAAAGCAGTATTTTGGAGTATCAGTTTGCTACTGTAGCGATATTAGAAAGCAGCATTTAAAGGCATTGGCTTGCAATACAGTAGCGTAAGAATGAAGTAGTGTTTGGGATATATGATTGCTACTGTAGCGCAAGGAATAAAGTATTATTTAATGGAAAGTGGCTTGCATATAGTAGCAATGAAAGGCAATTATTTTGAATACTGTAGCGATGAATTGAAGTAATATTTAATGGCATATAGCTTGCATACAGTAGCGATGGAATGAAGTAGTATGTTGGAGGCAATGGTTTTACACACAATAGCGTTGTGATGAAGTGGCATTTAGAAGTAATTGCTTACAATTCTGTAGTGCTATTATGAAGTAACAATTAGAGACAATTGATTTGCATACTGCATACTGTAGCGCATTATATGAAGTAATACTTAGAGATAATTGTTAGCATAAATGTTGTGGTCACTGTACTCTGATACAAATAATAATTTGGTATAGAATAATTAGTAGATATACTGTAGCTACTACGTTCCGGTTTACAAATAAAAAATATTTAATAATAATGATTTAATATCTTTAATAAATAATTTTGTAGGATTTATAAAGTAGAAATAATAGAATTTAGGGCCGATAATTAATTAATCGATTTTAACCAAAATAGTCCAATAATTATGTGGTTTATTGTAGTAATTTTGGTTGATCTGTTGGGTGGCATTTTTGTTGAAAACTGTGAATTTGCAGGTGATTTCATTGCCTCTATTTATGGGTAAAATATTAAGTTGCAGGCTTATGGCCAATGTTGAATTAAGTTGAATTGTTGTTGTTGTTGTTATTATTATGTCCATGTCGTTAATGCATACATAGCATATCATGTTGGAGTTGATGCTCGTCAAGTTGGCCTGGATTGGCAAATATAAAGTTGAAGGCTTATGCCTTGTTGATGCCTCTATTTATTGGCAGATTTCTAAGTTGGGAGTTCTGCTTCATTGGTACCACATGCATGTGCATAAAGATGAGTCGCATTTCATGTTGCATTCTGAGTTGTCGTGTGGATGAATTAATTATGTTGAATGTTGATAAAAAGATGTGAAGTGATGAATTACATGATCTAATACTAATATATTATTTATTGTATATCCGATTATATGGTTCGATATCTCACCTCTTATGTTTGAATGTTTTCCTCTGTTGGTAACGTGCAGGTAATCAAGAAGGTTAGTTGTTACTCTCGTTAGTTCGAGTCGGTGTTGTCGCTCTGATACGTAGCACTCGGGGAGATGAACACATGTTTTCTTTATTGTTGATTTTCATTGTGTTGCTGAATTTTTTAGTTGTTTCCCTTAAAAGACTTGTTGTCTTAGAATTGTTTTGAGTTGGATAAGATGTTATAGTGTTTTCAGTTGAATTTTGTGAATCCGCTGCGTAGTAATGAAAATTGTTTTTATTTTAAAGATTAAGCAGGTTGTTATCGGTTCATCCAAAATTCATGTGTTATGTATCTGAACTATAGATGATTGAATGTCGTAGTTTTAAGTTGAAAGTGTAGCATTCCATTTGTTTGTTGGAAATTTTTATAACTATGATTTTATTTAACTCGTTGGGTAGAAATGGGGTGTTACATTAGTGGTATCAGAGCAAGTTGATTCGTCCGGTCAAGTTGTCGAGTCGTAGCTTTGTCTAACAATTGAGTATTGTTAATCTGAATTCTAATTGTCGTTTATGTTGTAGAGATAAGTTGAGATGGCTGGAAGGAAGGATGTTGCACTTGCTGCTGCTCTGCAAGCGATGGCTCAGGCTATGCAGAATCAACCAAATGCTGACGAGAATGCTGGATCTCGCAGTTTGGCGACTTTCCAAAGGGAGAATCCGCCTACCTTCAAGGGTAAGTATGATCCTGACGGAGCGTTGGATTGGCTGAAGGAGATTGAGAGAATCTTCCGTGTGATGGACTACACTCCAGCGCAAAAGGTTCGTTATGGTACTCATATCCTAGTGGTCGAGGCTGATGACTGGTGGTTAGAGACTCGTCAAAGATTGGAAGCTACAGGTGAGAATGTCACTTGGGCGGTGTTCCGTAGGGAATTTCTGAGGAAGTATTTTCCTGAAGACGTTCGTGGTAAGAAGGAAATCGAGTTTCTTGAGCTGAAGCAAGGGAGTATGTCAGTTGTTGAGTATGCTGCAAAGTTTTCCGAGTTGGCTAAGTTTTATCCACACTATAGTGAGGCAGATGTTGAGTTTTCGAAGTGCATCAAGTTTGAGAACGGGTTACGCCCAGAGATCAAGAAGGAAATTGGATACCAGAAGATTCGTGTCTTTGTTGATTTGATTGATAGTTGCAGGATTTATGAAGAGGATAATAATGCTCACTATAAGATTATCAATGAGAAGAGGGGTAAGCACCAACAGAACCGTGGTAAGCCTTATGATGCCCTAATTGGTAAAGGTAAACAGAAAGTTGCTCAGAGTCAAAGGACTAGTGGGGGAGATGCTCCTGCTAGTGTGGTGTGTTTCAAATGTGGAAAACCTAGTTATAAGAGTAATGTGTATACTGCTGAGGTGAAGAGGTGTTTCCGTTGTGGTAAGACTGGACATATTGTATCTGAATGAAAGCATAAAGAGATGATTTTTTTCAACTGTGGTGAATAATGACACATTGGTAGTCAGTGTCGGAAACCAAAGAAGGCGCAAACCAG